GCTTTCCTTCTACTTGATGAGTTGATCTTAATTCCCAGTGAAATCACTGCACCATTTGATTGGATAACAGATGGTTTGCACTCCTTCCCAGCACCTGCATGTACAGCGTTAGGCAACTGATAAATACACAGAATACAGCAGATCAGCTCTGTATTGCTTTTCCATGTATGTGCACAGAAAGACATTGCAGCAAAAATCACTATAGATTTAAGTGCTTTTTGACAATGTTAAATAATTTTGCCTGCTCAAATATATATATTTTTTTCTTTCTCCACTTTTCTATTGTTCAGTCTGAAGTTTTGTATCCTCTGAAACCATATATTGATGAAGAACCAAAGGGCCTTTGGGCAAATATTTGGCACTTCCATAACAGAGATGAGCAGCAGCAGCACTTGCAGAGTGGTTTCCATTTTTGAAGCCTCATATTAACATCAGTTACTGTTTGTATTCCACTTTGAATCAAAGAGGAACTGGAAGCACGAATTGCTTTGGTTGCATGGGATTCAGATAACAGGCATCAAGTGGCACAGTTCCTATGCAAATATTTTTCAGAGGTACTTGTACCACTTACTGGCTAATTGACTCATTAGCAACAAGTGCGGGATTGCTGATTTTGTGATTTAATTTTTTTTTTTAAATACAAAAAGAGCCCTTGAGTTTCAGAGGCCGTAAATACAACAGTGATGGCAAACCTCGTATCTGCTACTTTCTTTAAAAGTTAAGCCAGCGAGCACAAACTCTGTGCCTGGAAAAATGAATGATCTGCTTTGTATTCCCATTGCTCTGCATGAGGAAGGATGAATCAGACACCGCTGTGATTCAGAGGTAGCGACAGCCTGCTCAGATCAGCAAAGATATAGGGAGCAGCATGCTGTGCTGTGAGTCCAGCGAGTTCCCATTGCCTTACACAATATGCTCCAATACTTCTTGCAGTAGTCTTTCTCTCCACAACGTGCTGACAAAAAATTTGGACTGATAGGAAGAAATAACCAAAATAGATCAGTTAGAGCTAATTAAAGATGATTTCAGGTTTGACCAACTCTACCAGAACTTGACAAGTACCTCTTTGTTTGTTAAATAGAGCAAATAAAGATGTGGAAAATTGTCAACCACAGAGCCCAAATTTGTAACAGATAAAGATAATAGTTAAAATTACATTTTTTTTTTTTGTCCTTTGTTGTAATGAAACTCGTTCTGCCACTGGGATATGCCAGTGGGCAACTCTTCAACAGTATGTCTTGTAGGAGTCCTGCGACTCTACAGCCTCTATTGGAGCAAGTGAAAAGTGGTTGCATGCATTCACTAACTCCAAAAGGCTGGATCACTCATGTCTTGCTTTGTCCTGCAGCAATTGTCTTGAGCCTGTTTTGAGTAATAATGGCCAGGAGTTCCCACTAATGTATAGAAATAAGATAGAAACTTTTCCTTAACTTCTTTATATGAGTAGTTCCTCTTCAAAGAATGTCTTCTCAGACTGATTCATTAAATTGACACAGACTTGTACAACATACCATAAATGTACTTCTGAGGCCTCCATGTTCCCAGAGGGTAGCCATGCTGCTCATACTTTTTTGACATTCATCAGCTTTCCACTGGTTTCCATTATCCATTACTTCCTTCTTTTCCTCCTCTCTCTCTCCCAGCACCATCTCATCTGTTCCATGAGCTGGATGACACATTTTCCCTCCTCCTATCTTCCTAATGTGGCCAGAGCAAACAAGTGCCAGGAGTATTCCTTAATCTGTTTTACACTTGGGCTGCTCTGCAAGAGACAGAGCTGTGTGATCCAGCTGCAGCTGAACAGGGCATGTGGAAAGAGCAGAGGCACAGCTGGTAGGTGTTACTCCCACACTGCACAATGGTAAGGAACATTTGGGGTGGGTGATATCAAGGACAAAGAAGAAACATCAGATGGTAGAAAGTAAATAACAGAAAACAAATGCTTCCATTATGAATCTCACACAAGGTGCAGCGTGCAGCCCAGCAGGTCATTGTACTCTAAATAGAACTTATCCAGATTTACTTCATGTGTATCAAGATGGTGCCTGGGGAACCTTCCTGCTACTCACTGCACCTGGGGGCCCTCCTCCAGAATCTCGTTTGTGCCTCAGGAATTCCTTGTAAAAGCAAACTGGAATTAAAGACTGCATCTGCCCTGAATGAGTCTCTCACCTACCCAACTCAAATGAATTTCTCCTCTCCAAATAGTATCTTGACTTCATAGAGATCCAGAGAAGTGCTTAGCAAAGGAGATAAACCCAGAAAGATGAGCAGAGACAGAACACTTGGAGGGCCTGTTTCCCATTTGACTGTGGTATTTTTTGTCAGATGCCAGAAGGTATTCACCAAATCAGCATCACAGCAGCTGTGGTTTCTCCCTGATTTTTAACACCTGTGGTGCTACTCATTCGGGGGTTGCAGAGCTGCTTTTGTTCACAAACACATATAAGCAAGCACTGAATGGTGAGCTGGGGAATAGACTTTGACCTTCTTACTCAGGTGATAGCTGCATGCAGATTACAAGGAGGGGGTGGGAAATACAGGGGGGGGGGCAACCTGGAGTCACTCCAGCAGTTTTGCCTATGTCCCAAGAAGTGATCTTTGACTCACCTTGTATTTTTGAAAGCACACTGAAATCAAAACCCCTCTCCCATTTTGTCATCGTGTTGTGAAGCAGAAAACTCAGAAGGCTGCAACCGGTCTTGAGAAATGTGCTGAATCCAGCTACTGGGGCTAGAAAGTGTCCCTCAAGGGGAAAAGGCTTAATGAATGGAGTGTGCCTCTCCTCTCATTTTATTAGATGACTTTATTAAGCACTTAAGCGCTTATTTGTGTAATTGAATTCATCTCAATCATTTTTCTGCTCTTCAGAAACCACACTACACGTTCAAAGTGCTCATAATATGATGCTCATATTCTGAAGTTGTAGAGCCAGAGATGAAAGAACCTCATGAAATAAGGAAAATGGTACAAACGTGTCCTGCCAGTTCATACTGCGACACGTGTGGAAATACTGCACAGGCCAAAAGGCACAAGGTGTCAGACAACCAGTGGATTGACATTAGCCACGTTCAGAAGCAGACTTGAAAAATATCCTGTTCTGCACTTTAGGAAACACCATTACTAATAAATAGGGAATGAATCTTTATTCCTCTAATCCTCCTACAAGGTGATTTGGCAATAATGGAGGCTTTTTTTTTTAACGAAGAAATCTTACTGCATGGGAATACCAAGATGATCAAGGTGGAGTGGGGGGAAAATGTTTCTTTGCTGTGATTTCCATTCTCTGCAGGCCTCTAGGCCTGGGAGTGGGTACAAGAAGGAGTATGCTGAAATCTGAACTTCGGAACAAGAGATTTAAAAAAAAATAGTACTAGTTAACTGAATGAAAGAGAAAATATTACGTGATGAGGGCATGAGAACTGATGATATTAAAGAAAAAGCACTTCAAGTTGATATAAAGTAAAGAGAAGACTGGTATACTGCCCTCTGGTCACCTTTGTGGCATTCTCTGATGCTGAAGAGGGATGGCAATTAGCAAGTGCAGCCTTTGTAACAGCAGCTTACCTTTGTGTGACGGGGGCTCACACGTGAACCTTCTGCTCAGACACAGTTTCTTTCTAGAAGTAGCAGAAATTTCAACACATTTCTTCTGCATCTCTTTTTTCTGATGCAAACGCTTTGTTGTGAAAAAAGAACTTCCAGAATAAAGGAATTGGTTCACATGTGCTGGGGGGTGGCTGCATTTGTTTTTGGCAGTCGTCATGGTGGTTAGCACACATTTGGATGAAACCAGCAAAATGCTGAGAGCAACAGATAGGGGCTTTGTGTTCCAGCTGCTCCCAAAGCAATCCTGGACCAAAGCAGTCTTGGAAGGGAAGCAATACTCGTTCCAGCTGCAGAAATGGCAAGCGCTCTGGCTTTTCATGTCTTTCACTGTTTGTTTTGTTTTTATTTCTATTTTGTTACTTGAGAGACTCCTGGAAACGGCCTGTGTTGGAGCCAGCTGCGGTCCCCAGAGGCTGGCTGAATGCTCTCCCCCAGCCAGCAGAGCAGTGCCCTCTGCTGCACGAGCACAGCAGCAGCCTGGTCCTCAGCTGAACTGGAAGATAATCAGAGGGGGGGGGGGGGGAAGTCACCCTTACTGCATGCTGCGTCGTTCTCACAAACCACTTGCAGCATTGAACAGCTCTGATGGGAGTGCTGCTTGAAGGGAATGGGAGATTCAGCTGTCTGCACCCAGCCCAAGGGATGGGTTTTCTGTTTGTTTTCTCCTTGAGCCCTTCCCAGAGCTAAGCTTCTGGTTAGCATCGACTAAAGCAGGCACAGCCCACCCTGGTCACTTTGGGCAAGGATCCATAAAGAATTAATTTCCAGATACAGCACACTGTGGCCAAGGGGACTTGAGAGCACTCAGATTACTAATTAATACCCATTAATTATCTAGCAAGTTTAACCACAACAACAAATGGGACCACACTAAGCAAGAAGGAAGACACATCCTTTGCCCCAACACCTGGACACTGGCATCTTATTACAGACTGCAGACATGACTGATCTGCAGGTGTCAGAGCTGCATTCATCCAGGCAGAGCAAAAGCGCCTGTGCCAGCACAGTGCCGTGGAGCTGCATTTGAAAACCAGGCTGGAAATCCCCACTTTGAGGCAAGAGCTGTAACGTAATACAACCCCTGAGAGAGTTGTGCTCCTGCATGCTTTATCTGGCTCCACCAATCTTTAATTATTTCATTGCAAATTGGAAAAGCTCCAATTTTAAAGTTAAAGGTATACAAGAGACAAAGACCCAAACCTCCTCAAGCCATGAACACAGCAAAGGCAGCTCGCAGCACCGAACTTAGACTTTTTCTTAGCTGTAGATACGTACTGAGAACGCTTACGCTGTGAGGAGCTATGGGCCTGGGAGAAGCAATGAGACAGCCACACTGCTCCCACATCAGCAAGTAGAAGATCTTTTAGCTACATTAAGAACTACAAAATAAAAAGAGAGACCAAAGAAATTTATTTATTTTTTTTTTATCTATGAACAGTATGACATATAATTATAGACAAGTTTTGATACACAGGAAAACCCTTTTGTCAACCATTTGTTTTGCTAAATGAAACAGCACAATAATCTTTACACATTCATATTTTGTTTTTCTTTTTTTTTTCTTTACAATACACAGCTTTCTTGGGTTGAAGCAAACTGCAGGACATATTGAGTACTGGTATATTACAGCTACTTTACATCATATAAGAACAGCAAATGGAGAAAAATAAGTTATTTAAATATTGATTTCATATACAGAAAGTGCAACTTTGTTAGTTGTTACATAACTTGTTTGACAGTTTTGATTCCCCAAAGGGTGTCAATTAAAGATAAAAGTATCTTGGACCAAAAGTATTATTTATTCTAAAAATAATACAGTACAATTGCACAGCTGTGACTTGGTGAATCGACCACTATTGCTGCTCTTAGAGATGATGACCTGTTAGAATAATGCAGTGTTTAACATTTCTGATCATGCTCCCAGTCTGCACTCAAAGCCAGGCTCTTAAAAAAGAGCACAGAGACTATCTGGGTATTAACAGAGATTTACTGATGGAAGCTTACATTTATGAAGGCATTCTGTAATATTTTGGGCTTGCTGCTTCTTACCATTAAATAGCTATCTGAGTTACAATGGTACAATGGACAGATGCGTAACGTCATTAGCCTGAGCAGAGCAGGTTAGGATTCCAGCAGCAGGTTTCTTCTGTGCTTCCCAAGAGCCAAAGAGTGATCTTTTGCTTACTGTACTGAAGGGCTGCAAGGAAATGTAAGAGGTTATGGCTCTTTAGCACACTGCCTCACCTGCGTGGGGAATGCCACAGGTCACTGAATCCACAGCAGGGAAGCTCGAACTCTGAAAAGCTTAAGGCTTTTTTTGATTAAAATAGAAACTAAAATTATAATTCAAGTGGGACCACGGAGAGCAGTCTTAAAAAGAAAAACAAAGCAGCTTTTAGAACTCACAAATCTCAGACTGCTCACTCTAGTGCTGGATGGGTGGGATTTGGTTTCCCTGGGCTGTGTCATTATTTAAAAACCATGGAGTTATAGAGTGTGTTTGGCACATGGGTCTGGCTTATTCCTGTATTTCTCCTGTTATTAACTGAGTAGGAGTAATTAATATGGGAGAGCTTTATTATGTGACTTGCCTTTCCTGTAAGAAGAAGTGTTTCCCTTCTTACTGCACACAGCCAGCTTGGACTTCTTTGCTCCAAGGAAGGCTGTTGTGTACTTGCTTTCACTCAGTACTGGTCCCTGCCAGTACTCCCAGGAAGTCTCACTACTTTCATCTCCTGCTTGCTGATAGTTACCATGTAAGCCTCAGAGAGGAAATGACAAATCATTACTATTAAAAAGACAATGTACTTTTTCCACATTTTCCTTAAATCTTTACCAGTGGTGCAAAGCATTTTTGCTGTATGTTTCCTGACGCTGTCACATTAGAGCAATTGATTTATGCAGCAGGAGAACATCATTAAAAAAAGACTTGGAAGAGTTTTGTTTGAGAACAATTCCAAATGACAGCACTGAGTTAGATGCTTCACGTGATGGCATGCTTCTGGATGCAGACTGAATTCAAAGCTGATGCTACAAACACTCAACAACTCCAAAACTAGGAAATGAGCCTAACACGGGAGCCAAATTAACTGTCATCTGTAGTAAAACATGTAGTTCATCTGACTTAAAACACGGCCATGTAAGTATTATACATAGTAAGGACTGATGTAGTAAGCAAAGCTCTCCACTCATCAATCTGATAGCATTTGATCAGGAAAATTAGTGTTATTAGCTCAATACAGGCGTGAGATAACTGAGGCACCAGGCTGTGAAGTGACTCGTCTGGTTCTATACAGTAAGCTGACGTCAGAACTGATGCTGGAAGCAGTCTCACTTCCCAGCCTGTGCCCTCGTTTCTGTACCTCACTTTGCCTGCCAGAGTAAAGCTTGCTCTGCCTTCCATGGAGCACTTGCACTACAAGGAAGCTGAAGGATAAACTGTACAGAGAGCCCAAGTTAAAAAAAATCTAGTCACATGTTATTCATGATAATCTGTATTTGGTATATAAATGTGTCCCCATATATAAAAATAAGATCTGTTGTTAGCCACATACGTGAATGGAACATTTCACAAGGGTTTAGCAGAAAAATATAGGGAAAAAATGGCTCACCACATATGCCAGCACACTGCTCTCTCCCAGGGAGAGGTAACACTAACATTCAGACGTGAAAGATACCAACTGTTCTAAAATCACAGTGTAATTCATAAGACTATATAGGATTTTTTTCTTGTCCAGGCAATGGAATTACAGAATCTCAAGATTTCTTTGGGACATAATTTGAATACATTTTATCCCCCACAAGTGATCTTTAATTTGCAGAAACCTGCTGTTTGGAATTGATACGGTCAGGATACCAAGTCAAAGCTGCAGCGTAATGATTGACAATATAACACAGTACACAGAATATGATTAAAATGAAAAGCAGTTACATCTATACAAGGCAGTATATTTTGGAACTGTTTAGTAACAACAGTAAATGCAGACTGCAGTGAACAGGAAGTCAGCCTCACAATTGAAACCTAGCATAACCCTGCATTTGTAAAAGCATCTATACAACACATAAGATGTCATGATGAGGCAATTTATAGAAGCTACTTAAGCTGAATATCACCCAAAGTGCAGCTTATGAGTGAGAGGTTGAAACAAGGCTTGGGAAGCATGAGTACAGATAAGTGAACATTAGGTAACTGCTTAAAAGCTTGTTTTAAGGCAAATAAAAAGCAGATTGCTAAAAAGCAGTTATAAAAATGACCTCAGTTCTGTACAAATTAAAAGAAGCTTTCTCCTAGGGTTAATTGCATTGGAGTGACAGAGATGGACCATACTGTAAATTAACTTCAGTCCATTGACTTTGGCCTAGCTAAAGGCTTTGAGGCATATTGGGACCTATATCAAGCAACAGCAAAGATGACCAGGAAAGAGGGGTATACATTTAGCTCTAGACCACTAAAAAAAAAAAAAAAGGCATTTGCCAAATAGCTTCTACTGGGACTTGCACCTTGATTTGTACATGGTCTGTAGGACTGATTCCAGGTATCTAGATGTACAGAAAGCCCCCAGCCTCAGCACTTCTCCACAAATACAGTGCCTATTAGTAACACTTAAACAAACTTGTGGAAAAGCAAGTAAGATCCCTTAATTCCCTGAAGCTGTCTGATGTCAGGCCAGCCCTATGCACTTTATGAAACAGGAATACTTTACAAGGGAGTGAGGGGGGAGGGAAGTACCACATCTGTGTTACCTGGTGGTTGCTTCTCTTCTCCTTCGGTTGCCAAAGACAGCAATTGAAACATGTCATATCCTCTGAAGAAGCATTCTGCCTGTCACTGGGAGCCACTTCCTTGATCCCTTTAGTTATGTAAAGTAATTAGGACAAAATTGGTGCAGGAAGAAGCAGTGGGTTCTTGACTAGGCAATGTCATGCTATGGAGCATGTTAAATTGCGTCTGGATCAAGAGGTTTGAAGAGTCTTGCTGCTGCCAGGAGCTTGCTTATGTGCCTTTCATCTGTGATGCCAGCTTCCTGAAGGCAAGTTTGTGACAGAGAAGGCACTTTGCTCAGTGTGTTGAACCCTGCTTCTGTGAGTGGGCTGGAATACATGGGCAGGCCAATGGAAATCAGCCAGTCAGATACAGAGGTGATAAGTCCTGGTGATACAGGTTTTCGGCAAATTTCAGTGAGCCCTCCACTTGGAATCTGGACAGAAAAGAAGAAAAAAGAAAGAAAACAAAACCTTCATGTTAAACACACTGCTTGTTTTACTGCAAGTCTTCTGTTTTGCTTTCAAGCTGGCAGAATTCGACAGCAGATGTATCAGTTTTTCTCTCTCATGCATGCCATGCTTGTAGGTGTGAGAGTGGTCTGTGGGCAGAAAGGCTGGGCAGGAGCAGTGGTAACAGTTTGGGCAGGTGCAGGGGGCAGTACTCAGTCATTTGGACAACTGTCATGTACCATTCTGAATTCATCTGAAACCACTCAAAAACAGCCAGTGAGGAGTCTTCCAAGGCTGATCCATTCCAGGCTGATCCAAGGCAAAAGGATACTAACTTTGTGTATTACCTCCCCAGACAGACAAAGCTCTTTTATGTATAGACATGAAAGCTTTTGATAGCTACCCTCTTCTGATTTTTCTAAGAAGAGTGGAGAATAGTGTATTTTGAGAAATGAAAAAGGAGTACAAACCCTTTTGAAACTTTTGAAAAGTACAAAACCATTGAACTGAACTGTTCAATGTATGCCATCCTTAGCAAGCATTATGTCTGCTAGCAATCTCCTTAGAATCTCCAGGGAGTCAAAAAAAAAAAGAAAAAGGGGGACATTCACTCTGTTTTCAATTCCTAGTTATTCTCCTTCAGGGCAGGATCTACTGTCCCTGTAGTACCCCTGTAAATGTTGCTCATGCTGAGAGCACACAGGTAACGTTTTTGTACTATGACTCAAGAGATAGCTCCCTTTACCAGTAGTCAGAGCTTTCTAGAAGACTGCTCATAATTAAGGAGCTTGGGTTTAAGGAAATACTCACTGCCATGCGATGCTGCTTTCTCAGCTGCTTTACCCGGATTTGGTCCATGTTTGCAGCAACATCCTTTTCAGGCTGGTCTAAGTCTTCAGAGTACCTCTGTACCAAAGCCTCAGGAATGCCACAGCGACCATGCTGAATGTTCCCAGCCAGCCAAGAAGAAAGGTGAAAGAAGTGCATCAGTACAGATCGATCAATGCAAACAAAGATGTGTGGGATGGGAGAAAAAAGGATTTTTTCTTGAGATTCATAAAACCAATTTTATTTAGCTATAAATGATATCAGTGGAATGGCATAAAAATAGCAGTATACATCTTTCATGAGCTTTGAGATCAGTTCCAGCCTCCCTGAAATCAACAGCAAAACTCCTGTTACACTTAACTTGAACGGGGATGCCCCCAAAGGCCACATTTCTAGATTTCAAGCTGCTGAGCAGTAACTCATTTTCATGATGATTTCTGGATAATTTTCTGAGGTTTGGTTCAACCAGTTAACTGATGTGATCCTTTGACTAAATGTTTCCTGATTCTTTTGGTGGCTAAATGACAGAGATGCCTAATCTCCAACAGCAGTGACAGGGCAAGAACTTCCAGAGACAGATTAGTGACAGAGAAGTTTACACTGAAGAACATCTCTTAAATTCTCGTTTACTCTATTCACATCTCCTAATTAATTTATTCTTCACATGAAGACACTTTCCTCAGTTTAACACTATGTTGTTTGATTTATAAACAAGCTGTTGCTATATATACATTTCCTACCCAGGCTAGATACAGGCAAACTAATACTTCTTCCTATGCACTATGCTACAGCAGTTAGACCCCCTGCCCAGTTGTACTGCAGAACTGTCCCTGGCAGCTCCAAGATGACCCACTCAGGGGCGCCACCTAACGGCAAAAGACTTGTGAATCAATCAGCAACTTTATTTTGAATTGTCATGTTTCCTAGGCACCAAAAGCTACAGGCTTTTACAAGCTTAGTAATATTCTCCCCTGTGGCATGTGATATGTGGCATGTGATGTGTGACCTGTCAAAATTTGGCTGAGTTTCTGGAAGGGGTTAGAAGCAGAAAATTAATGCGAGTCTGCTGCTGGCTCAATTCCGCTTTTGTAGGGTACATGAGAGGATGGTCCAGAAAAACAAGAAATAAATGAGCCACATTTACTGACAAGGATACTTCTCCTGGGATATGGGAATACTGCTGTGTTCTGTTCTCCTTTCCAACACTGCTCATGCATTTTAGCCATTGACTCTTCCAAGAAAACTGAAAAAGCAATCCTCGAAGGACTGGGAGTTAGAACTCCCTCCTTCCCATCATGTCCTCATGAGTATGTCCTCATCACTACGCTATCAACTTATATTTTCTTGAAAACATAACATCTACATGACTTTCCTCTTCAGCTCCACTTCCCTACAGTAGCAACAAAAGAGATGTTTTCATACTCGGTGCCACCATGGTACTGGTGGCCTGAAAAAAGGCTCAAGGTATGCCTGGGATATCTCAGTCTCTCTACAGTACATCTAAATGGTTACTTTAAACATAAGGCCTGATAGTAAAGTTAGGCATAGTTACAGAATATCCTGTGTCTTAATGATTTGTAGTTAATGCAGGCTGGTTACTCACAAGAATATGACAGATACGATAAATGAAAGATTAGCCCTTGCAACACTGGTAGAAAACATTGAGGCAATGTGCTCCACTTACCTTGTCTGAGTATGGTTCTTCAGTAAGATCAATACCTTCAGACTGCAACTTGTTTTCTATTACCATTTCCAGATCCATTCCCCTGCTACAAGAGACTTTCCTTGCTGAAGCAGGCCCTAGCTTTATCATGTGCTGCTGAACACTTTTAGTCTCTGGTTGCTCCAACAGCCAAGGTGGCAGTGAGCTAGGAGGGGTACTGGGTTCCTGTTCAGATGTCCTATGGACTCCATGAAAATCAGTGGGAGTGGATGCACTGCTCTTTTTTACTGGCAAACATGGTGCTTCTTGACTTGAATTGTTCCCACTGGGGGTCATGGGAGGATGATATAATCCATTAGTAAGGCGTTCTCGGCATTTTTTGGCAGGAACAGGTGGTGGCTGAGAGGGATTTTTTGGTTGCATTCTTGTCTCATTTGTGCCTTTTTGCTCAGCTTCTAGACCTCCCTTGAGGACCGGAGCATAGTCAGCCCGTGCAAGGTCATGAAAGCCCTTACTCTGTATTTCCAGAGGTGTCCTTGTTGCAGAATGTGTCACCAAGGCAGCCTGAGCTTCACAGTGTTTCACAGGGAGCGGAAAAGGTTTCCCAACTGCACTCTTCATTACAGAGCACTCCAGCTCCTTACCTCTACCCTTCTGAGAACGAGCAGCTGCTTTACCCTGCTTAGGCATCAAGTTATCGACCATACAACTGCCCCCACACGACTGAGGTGGCAGGGCAGATCCAGTTGCCTTTTTTGCTGTATCCAGCGAATCCTGAGCAAAATAATCTTTCTTGCTACTGTCCTGTAGATTAGTATTGGAATCTCCCTGGAGATCATCCAGGGATTGAGATCTTGGCCATACATCCACACTCTGGGGGCCATCCAGAGTTTCATAGCTCCGACAGACAGCAACTGGTAAACTTCTACGGTTCTTCTTCAGACCCATAACAGCTGGGGGATTGACAGAGCTCTTCAGAGCACGATGCGCACAGCCCAACCGGCCTTCTTTTTCTCCTTGATGTAGAGTTTCTATTGACTTGGTCAGTGGGAGCGTAGGATAATTTGATAGCTGGTGTCTGCTGAAGTCTTTAAAGCTATGCTCACTTGATGATTTTGAGGGGAGAAGACAGGTTCTTCGGGTCTTACCTAGAAGCAAACAGATCACAATCCATCATTAAAAAAATCTACTGTGTACTAATAATGGATCAATTCTAAACAACTCTGAAACACAATGATTCACTGGCTTTTGTTCACTCTGAACGTATGAGAACTCAGAACCATTTTAAGCATATGGATTTCTGAGCGTTAGCTTTACTAATGAAGAACTGATAATTACCATCAAGTGAGGAAAACATATTTAAAATAATTACTATCCCTTCCATTCTTCCAATGAAAAATTATCCTGTAGCTAGACCTGATATTCTATGCTTGATATATTAACAAGATTGACCCCATGCAGAAATAACTCCATTGATCTATCCTTCTTCTCCACTTTTCTAATTCATGTAGGATGGTGATAATTATGTTTGTTGCCCAATTAAGTTTGCTAGATTGCTCAGGAATGCTTTAAAAAAAAAAAAAAATCACATTTATTTGTTTTAATTACATAGCTTGCAAGCAGTGTTATTTCATCTTTTAAGTAAACAACAAACTACTTTCAGTGGCAAATCAGAAAGCAGTAAGGTATTGGGAATACTGGTGTTGCACCAATCCCTCTGTGAAGTTGCTTTTAGCCACAGAAGTTTTATGGAAAAAATATTATACTATGAAACAGAGAATGGTTACAAAAGAAAGCTTCTAGAGTGACTAATCTTAGCGTTGTTCTCATTTCACACGCCTTCTCAGAATGGAAGGTCTCAGAAGCATGATGTGTTATTTTATCACTGAAGATGAGAGGACTTGAACCAATACAAACCACATGTCCTTCGTAAGCTTTACTCCATATTTTTTATGAGATATGCACCATCACTTTTAAACAGTGATTCTATCAAATCTGCTCGATAGAAAAATTCAGATCTCATTACTGTATTCATGAGTATGAAATACAAGGTCACTTCTCCAATGCTGCATAAATATATACCTTTCACAAGAAGTCAGTTTGTCTCAAAGCAGACAGCCCCTCAGGACGACAGCACATCCTGAGTAATTATTTTTTTCTAGTGACAAGGACACTTTTCCTCACCTACAATAAACTTTCTAAAATAATGACAGATAGCTAAAGCTTGGAACTTCTTTTTCCAGAATGTGTGTGGCAGAAGCTCAGTCTAAATGCTATCACAATCCCATAATGGCAATTAATGGGTCATTTACTTCTTTAGATCTGAGAACTTTTGCTAGCTTAATTCAAATTAAATTAATCTTGTGTACTTTTGAGCAACATATGCTTTCCTTTCATGCAGTTTGCCTCCAAAACTTCATCCCAAAGAAGCTTAATGCTTTGTTTTTGAATAACATACATTACTTTCTTCGAATACGAATGCTAACATACCTAAGTCTTACTTAAGAATATCCTATCCCCAAAACTCCTTTTATAAAAAGGAAATACATGGTTAACCTACAAAGGGAAAGAGCTTGCTTTTTCCTCTGCTCAAGGAGTTTAAAACCAAAGCATTCAGAAAACTAGAAGTAACCTGAATTTCCTTTACTAAAGAGAAATAAGGAAATATTCCCTCTCAAAAGGGAGTTGGCCACATTTGCTGGTATGCCAGCAAGGTTATTCTGTGTAAAACCAGTATGTGCCAACAGTGGTGAATACAAGCTTATAAGAACTCCTCTCTCAGAAGCTGTACAGCCCATAGTTCAACTGCAGCTAAATTCATATATATTCATATATTTCATATATATTCATATATTCATAAATAAATCATCATTTTCCCCAAAATGCTAATAAAGACATATTACACATTGAGTTGGTTCCTCTACTACTACCATGTGTACAGGTAACTTAGAGAAGCAGTAGAAAGGCTTATCTACCTGCGCCTTTCTGTAGCATGAGATCGCTGCCTTCTGAGAGTAGCTTCCAAACACAGAAGACATGTTTAAGAAACATTACTTTGTAACATTAGTGCCCGGTAGTAGGAGGCAATGCAACAGTGCCCCAGACACAAATGTCAATACGTAGTGAGTAAGGAAAGGAGTGTTTCCTCCATTACTCTCATTTTCTATTATAAGCCTAACTTCTGCAGCAATTCATAGAATCACAAAGCAGGGGTTCAGAATGTAATTCTGCATATGCATATTTAAGCCATGAGCAATAGAAGTAGGACCACTGTGATTTCTCTTCTTCTAGCTATTCCATCCTCCTACCTGACATGCTCCTGAGAAATTAAGAAAGGTAGGTAATCAAACAGACTTTTAATTATATTTTTGTTTTCATAAGGTGGGGATGTATATTAACAAATGTCAAATGTAACATCCCCTTCATATCTTGTAAAACAAAAAAAATCCCAAACTACAAGAGTTAAAGTGTACAGCTATTAAAGTTCTATACACATTTTTAATGTCAGCATTTTTGCTAGCAATTCATTCCTACGATTCCCTGATACTGTCAAACAGACTGATGCCATTCACAGTGCTGTCAGCCACAGGAGCATCTCTGACTTAAATATGTGCAGAAGGGCATAGGAGTCAGGGTTAGAACTAAAATAATAACGGTGGTCCTTACCCCAAATTAATGAAAAGTTTGTACAGTTTTCAGGTTCAGATCGAGCTACAAGTGTACTTCACCCTTCTGTGTAGCATGATGCTGCAGTTTTTGTCAGATAAAGCGCCTCACTAATAGCTCACACTGTTAGAATACAGAGAACAAATCTTTCAATTTGCTGTCATCATCTGCCTCAGAAGAAAGGAAATAATCTTTGAGAGCATTTCCACAGGTACCGGAGCTACAGAAACAATTTTCAGTGTTTTCTTCAGTCATTTTCAGTGCAGAAGATTACCCTCGGGGAATTAAGTACACAAAGCCATACACAGCATACCTGCAATGGCCTGTATACAGCCTACATTTTATTAACTTCTTTTTGCCCTATATTTCTGTGTACATTTCAAACAGCTCTACTGACACAATGAGGATGATGGTGCAAGAAACAATCCCAGACTCAGAACTTTTTTAATTAATACAAACTAGTAGGAAAACACATTGTATTAGGCCACCTTTTCTGTTGCTTCCTTTTCTGATTAATTAACACTGCACACGTAAGTACTTTAGATGCCCAGCTGGCACTACAGTAATCTGGCTTCAGTTCCTGAACAAATCCTACCTAATAAAGTCATGGTTTGTTTGCCTCTTCAGCTCCCTGCATATGAAATTGCCATTGTCTTTAAACCCCTTCCCTCCTTACAAAACTGCACTGCAACAGGAAAAGGTTCAAAAAGGATGCATGACCAGAGATCCGATATGTAATGAATAATTAACAGGATTTAGACTAGAAAACAGATGACTTGAGGAGCATGAGGTCTATATACAGACACTGTTAGGTATGGAGACTCTAAGGAAGACAAGGGATTTTCATAAAAAAACAGATTAAGGAAAATGGAACGCAGTGAACTGTACAAAATTCAGGGAGTCTTTAAGTTCCTAAGTGATTAATTCTCCAAAAGTGCCTTAGGAAGCCTCAGACATCACTTACACTGTCGTCCTCCTTGATACCTGCTCTTGGCTGATTCCTGAAAGAAGTAGATTTCTGATAAGATTTCCAAATGTGTCTTGGACAGACAACACTTGTATGTACGAGAAGCCCAATAACTGCACTGTAGCACAATCTAAAGGAGAGCTCTCTCTATGCCTCTTTTTGAACTAAAAACTGATCTAAATAGACTGTTGATATGACCCTACATAGTTGCCTTCTGCTCTTATTTTCTTCCTGTCTAGAACTGAATAGGTCACAAAAATTATGTTCCTTGCTCTCTGCAAATTGGAATAAAATCACAATATTGCCCTAAGTATTTCTGCATCAAGGTCCAGAGAAGTACCTAGATGAATTACACCTGTACCACTGCCAGCAAACCAGTATATGGCAAACCATTTTTAATCCATACACTAAGGTGAGATGAATGACTGAACTGATGCCAAAAGGTACAACATCAGCCCAGAACAGGGCACTACTCACTAAAACATTATGTAAAATAATTCTCCAGGAAATGTGAAGATCAATTTCTTCTCACAATGCATTTCTTTTTCCTCTTTATGAAAAGCACTTTATTATTGCCAATCTACACATTACAGTGTTTATCCTAGACAAATTATTATGTTTTAATAGATGAGCATCCAATTATTTTGAAAACAAAATACATGTAAGCATTTATGGTCTATGAGCTTTGCAAAGAAGGTGGAGCACATGCCAGATTAACCATCTGTGACAAAATATTTGAATGAATCCCATACCGAATATTCTTTTCATCATGTTTTTCAAAACAATTACTAAAAACATTTTTGAGCAAAACCATAAGAAAGCCATAGATGAAAAGCAATATAAAAGCCATTAGAAGCATTTCACACTCTGCAAGACTCAGATAGAAATTATAGGTTAAATGTAAGAGTAAGTATCTAAGCAGAAAGGCAATAACAATTGCTTTCTAAAGATTTTATTATATTGTTAAAATAAGGAAAATATACAGGCAGCAATTTAATGTCAGTGCTGTAGCTACCATTTTGATGGCATCTAGAGATAAAAAGGAAAGAAAATTGTCACATGCCATATATGTAGCTATGATTACATTTCAGTATGCCTGCTGCATGAGAATTCACGTTAACAAAAAATTCCCTCTGCTTTCAGGAATTTAGTGCACTGCTAATTTCAGGCACACAGCTTCAAAGCAAATTGCAATGTTCTTCAATAAACAATTACCTCTGAGTGGCAGACTGACAGAAAATGCCTATGGTAAATGAAAGATCTTTAGCTCTTACTTTAAATGTGAGAAATGGCTACCAAAGAGAGCACACAGTGTCTCTGTTTATTTTGTTCTTAGTTTCTTTTTTATATTTGTTGTTCATGTTAGTGATGAAACCAGGCTGTCTGAGGCCAAATTAGTGCTCAAAAGCTTAGATTGATAATGCCAAACACAAGTGTAACCCAAACTGATTTCATCTAATATTTCATCCTTAGTCAAGTATTTGTATTGATTGTGCCACTCCTCAAGTAAACATAATAATCACAGAAAGGAATCAGTATTATCAAGTGTCTCAGTAATTTTCAGTGCATCACCTTCCAAGGATGAAAGACAAGGCAAGTTAAATTGACAGCATAAGAAGTTCTTCCTTTATCATCGTTCATTTTCTCACCAACTTCTCAATTATTTAACTTGCTAACCACTCATTCATACACTAAATAGTCCTAAATTTGTGCAGCTGTTCTCTTATCAGATGAGAATGCAATGTGTAACCTGAGTAGATTATAAAAATCACAATAATAAACAGCCTAAACCACAGCACGTTTCTTATGAACTGCTTTTGTATAGGTTTAGAAGAAATTCTCCTAAGCATAGTGTAGCTCAAAGACTTTTCCATTGCCAGTGGTCCCTTAGCAAGGCTAAGCAGAGCAAGCCTCATGAGGCATGGCTGCACGGGGCTCTGGTAAAGAATGAAGAAGTCAGAAATGGCAGAGACAGCATCTCTTGTTTTAAGATCACAAAAAAATAGAAAATGATTTGTGAAACGTGATTTGTTATCTATCAGTGCAAACAAATACATTAGAAATGATAGAAATGAAAACCAATGGCCCCAACGAAGAGGGAAAGAGGCAGCCAGAGTGAGGGAGAAACTCAAGCATGAAGTCATAAGCTAGGAGCAGGAGCAAAAAGCATAAGAATTTATCTACTGAAAACAGCCTATGAGGATTGTAAGGCTTGTTGCTATCATTAATACCATTCTCCAGGTTTTCACTGCTTTCATAGCAGCCAGAATCCCGAGGAGAGCATCCAGCTAGGCCTTGACCTTCAATGAGAAGTTTCTCCTGAGATCCTGACTGGTCGCTGTTACCTAGAGGAAATGAGAACGTGGTGAAAATAGAGGCAAACAGAGACTTCAGCTGAACTTCTCAACTTTTTGTTTCTAATATTATTTTCACTGTTAGAACAACTATAATAGATCAGATTGTAAGAAAAGAGTGAGCATTAGCAACAGCCATCACAAAGGGATAAACATTGTCTCAGGCATTCATCCCAAACAGCCTCTACTTAAGTTTCAGAGGGCAGTGCTGCACACAATGAATGAAAGCAATAACAGCTGTGTGTGCCCCTTAGCTGCTCTGAGTACAAGTCCTACAACTTAAAACCACCAAAATCCATTTAAAATGAACATAGAATTGGAGGGATTGGAAGAGACCTCTGGTGGTCACCTAGTCCAATCCCTTGCTAAAGCAGGTTTCCTACAGTATGTTGCATAGAAAAGTATCGAGATGGATTTAGAATACCTCCAGAGAAGGAGACTCCAAAATCTCTCTGGGCAGCCTGTTCCAGCGCTCTGTCACTCTCAAATAAGCTTTTCTTTATGCTTCTGTGGAACTTCCTATGTTCCAGTTTGTGCCTGTTGGTCTTTGTTCTGTCTCTGGGCACTGCTGAAAAGAGCATGGCCCTGTATGTTTGATTCCCACCCTTTAGATATTTAATAAGTATTGGTAAGATCCCCTCTCAGTCTTCCGTCCAAGCTGAACAGACCCAGAGCTCTAAGCTCTTCCTCACAAGGGAGATGCTTTAGGCCCCTTATCATCTTCGTGGCCCTCCGCTGGACTCTCTCTAGAAGTTCCCTGTCTTTATCTGAGCCCAGTACTCCAGATGTGGCCTCATCAGGGCAGAGTAAACAGGGCAGATAGCCTCCCACAACTCACTGGCCATGCTCTTTTTAATACGCCTCAACTGCTATGCACCCTACGGCATCAAAGTTTCTTCAAAACAAAAGCAAAAAGTGTGATGGAGAATGAGTTATTTAAAAAATAAATAAATAAATCCCAACCCTGACCTATTTTGCTGAAGGAATCAAGAAGAAAGATCAGGAATAAGTCTGGCAAAGTTACATAACGCCCCCTAAGGAATGGGGAAGGGACAAAGGAGAGACTGCTTGTAAAAAATTCTTTCCTTCCTTGGTCAGGAAGGCAGCACTCAAGTCTGATTCAGCCTAGGCTGTTTAGACTGGATTCTGGGAATTCATTCACTGCATTCAGTTGGAAACCATGTTTTGTAAAGGGACTAAATCTGGAGTTGAGGATACAAACTTTATGATGCAAGGACTCTGCTTATGTTACATTCTCTGCCCCACCCTGTCCCGAAAAAAATAATAATAAAAAATTATTATTTTGGTTTCTATTCTAAGCAAATGAATGGTAATTATGGAGCAAAAAGAAGTGCTTCTGCTCCTCCCAGGTTCCAGCAGTCAGGCTTCCACTCTTTCTGCTCATCATCCTGACTTGGAGTTGGAATTCATACTTTTCAGCCACCACATCAAATAGTTCAGGTTTTCAAAACAAAATTGAAGGTCCCTAAAAAAATGATTACTTCTGAGAAGTGAACATTTTAAACAAATCTGAAAATGTTAAAAAGAAACTCACATTAGGTGGCAAAAAGCTCCTTTGATTCTAATGAAAAGAACCCAATTCTGCAGTTGCTGTTTTACTAATGTGTGGCAAAAGGCGTAGAAAGTCTGGATGCCTCTCATCAAACAAAGAAACAAACTACATGCTGGCAACAATTTGGGCCACAAAGCACTATTCAGAGACAGTGACCACTAATCTCTTTACAACAGAATTATTTCCCACTTAATAAGCAACTGTTTAAATTGTTACTATGGCAGTTTCAGCTAAAAGAGAGGATTTTCCACAGAAGCAGTGGAGAAAGTACTTTCAGAATTCATTTCACTGATTCTGATTTCTGGGATACTACACTTCTGCCAGTATTTATGGATGGAGAGGAAATTCAGTATATCTTAGCTTGCTTCAACTAGGTACTGAATGCACCCGCATTTCTGTCTCAAGCAAGACTTGCTTTTTAAATAAATGATTCTACTGTACCATGACCTTTGGCTCCAACATAGACAGTAACCTGCTTCCTCCTGTGCAGGGACGATCCTACCCAGTTTAACTGTCAGGGCTTACTCTGCGTTCTTTACCTTTACAACTTGCCTGAGACCATCTGCACTACAGGCAGAATTGCACTGCTGCATATTAAACAGTTGGACCACTGCCTTTCACTCTTTGCACCTGACCAATCTTTTCTCCATTTGAAAATTGCTGTATTATTGCATGTGCAACTTATGGCTACCTGTGTAATCTTGCAAATCAGACAGGACAAGAATTACATGCATGTGCAGATAAAACAAGACAAAGTTTAAATCACATTATCCTTCTCTGCAGAATTCTAGGCTTTGATGTTTTTCCCACCCTTGATAACCTTAATCTCTTTCTCTAGCTAGAAGTCTCTTCACTATTTGCCTTGCCTCAGCTTCCTACTTACAGTAAGTTACGTCAAGATTTATTCTTGAACATCAGTGTTCTAACATACAGGTGATGTAATTTGACATCATTCGGATAATCTGGGTATGCGAGGCTTACATAAACAAAGAATTCTGGCAGAACAAATACAAGTCTTAAGTCATTCCTCAAAAATCTAAATGTTGTTATCCAGGAAGACCCTGGAAATAACTAGATTAGGATAAAAATGTCAAAATCTGGGAACCAGTTCTCTGCTGTAAGGGTTTCTAAGCTGGTAGAGCTCCAGTGAAACTGAAAACCTCAAACATCCCACGTACTGTCATACTCCTGTAGATGTTCCACAGCTGTGAGGAGAACTGCTCTGTGCTCAGGATCTCGGATGTTCAGTTCATCCAAATCCTCTTCTTCTAAAAGCTTGAAGGTGTCCAGATCTTCATAACCATTGAACAGAAAAGTGGGCATGTGCTCCTGTATAAGATGAAAAAGGTAGAAACAGAAAAATTAACTGTTAGGCAACATTCAACTTTGGAAATAAAAGTACTAGGGGAGATTTTCACAATCAGCAAAAATTAAAAAATAATAAAAATTCAGTAATTTCACAAATGGAAAATACTCTGTAACAGCAAATTTATAGGATTACAGCTTGTATAAAAATTGCTCAAAGTTCAGGAAAGTAGCTGTGCCAGACCAGAATGCTACACATGTTTTTGTATTTGGAATGTATTGCATTATCTGGCCTGGGCAGCACACTACTCAGATGCACAGATAGCACAGCTCTGTACAAGCACATTACAACATATTAACCCTAGGCCACATTCATTTATTTCCAGCCCCCTGAATAAGGTCGTGGAAAATAACCTGCTCTTTAACAGGGTAACTATGGTTCTGCTTTTGAAGAATGTTAGCTTTTAGCCATACTACATCTGGACTTACAACTACAGTGTGCTCTCTGGGCACATACAACCTGCAGACATCTTACAAGCCAGCAGCTCTTCATCGAGCCTGATGGGAGTTCTGCTTGGCCTTAGTTATTTTCATTTTGTAGCTAAGACCTGACTCTGTTAAGTAGGGTCGCGTTCACATTATGAATCTGATGAACAACTTCAAAACTAACAAATGCAGAAGTGTGGTTCATCCCACAAGCAAAACTCAAGGGTAAACAGAGAGAAAATGCAGACCTTTAAGTTGATGCGATCCAAGAGATCCTCAACTGACTTGGGTTGGGGTGGTCGGCTTTTTCGGCGTCTCCTGGTGGGCCGCTTCGGCTTCTCCTCCTCTTCATTTAACACATCCACATAGATAAATTTGAAAGTGCCAACTTTGTTGTTCAATAGGCCCATCCAAGTGCCCATGGGGGGTTTGCTGATGATATCAATGATATCACCTTTCTGCAGACCAAAGATGCAAGAAAGTCAATGAGGCACGTTCTGTGATGGATGTTCAGGCAAACCCACCACTTTCCCTTAGTTTTTAATGTACACAGAATGGGCAAAGCACAGTACACAGCAGGGAAAAAATTCTTCAGTTTTCAAAAGCTTTATCAGACCTTTTGCAAGGATATCCCACTTACATTCTATCCACAGAGGGAACAGTGACAAAAGCGAATTAGGTGACATGACTAGGATCATAGAGCAAGTCAACAGTAGAACCTGGAATGGACCACAACTCTCCAGATTCAGAAACCCACTTGCAGTCCAATTTGTACAGATGTCTCTATGTGGTGCAACTGCCTCAAACTGGTGCAAATAAGAACAGTCTCAGACCACTCAGTGTGGTAAGTAAGGACCACTCAGTAAGGACACAAATCTTATACAAGTGTCATTACAGCTCATGGTTGAAATTCATTATTTGAGATGTCTCTGAAGGACACTATATAGGTACAACCACATTTCTTCCACTGATTTTGAAAATAGTTCTACTGATTGACTTGTCCATTGCAGAAGAAAAGTATGTTTCCAGTGTTTCAAAGAAAAGTCTTGCAAATGACAAATTAATGTGAATTACATATATGTTTCCCCAGAAACCAAAGCTGCCAACTTGTGTGGAAATCTTAGTACATTCTGCAACATTTTGCTGTAATTCGAGCAACTCTTTAATGAATAAGATGAGTTAAGAAGCTTAAAAAACCCCAAATGTAGCCTCATTAGAAGAGAAAGAATTGTACAGTTCTCACAAAAAATTCTTAAAGAAAGAGCTTTGCCTGAATAAACATATGATCCCTTAAAAACAAACACAGCTGGTACCTTGAGCTTCAGAGAGTCTGTATCATAAGGACTTGGAGTAAAATCAGTGTGAACCCTGGCTCTTCCACAGAAAGGTCCTCTGTAAGGTGGTTCTTCATCATCCCCATCTTCTGATTTCACGCTCTCCCTGTTGCTGGTTGAGGAATCTGTTGTACTGACTGTCTGACCACCTAAGCACATGTGAGTGACAGACATTATCAGAACACACCAGAAGAATCTCTTCGTTAAGAAAATTCATTAACAGAGACAAGTTCGAAAGAGCAGTCAGAGCTTCCTAGGAAATGTGAATTTTTTTTCTAGAAAATGTCATGGAAGTTAAAACTCCTTAAATGTTATTTCTTAGACATACCTGTGATGGGAATTAATCTACTTTGTACTCCTGTTTTCCCAAATTCACCTCCTTGATATTTAACTGAGGAGCTGATTAACTACTATCTCATCTGTAGTACACCACAGGCAGTATCATCTTTCTGCAAAGTTTTGTCCATTAAAACAACAACAACAACAACAACATACTGATGTGAGCTTTTAATTCTGTCTGAAGGTTCCAGAACACCCTTTATGGCCAGTTTTCTGGCAACATTTTGTACTGATGTCAAAAAGATTATTTTCAGAATACACTTTCAGTTAATTTAAAAATCGAGCTTTCTCTTTAGTGTTTTTCCTCAGTATGCTCTTGGCTTCTATTACTAATTCACAGAAGCAAATTCACCCCATCTGCATCCTGCCTGAATTCCGTGTTATGCTAGAGACAATCTTAACCAGAGAGGTTTTAAGTAATACTTATCTATCTAGTTAATGAGAAAACCATAACGTCTCTCTAGAGGGAAATGCAAAACAAAAACAAAAATGCCCAGCAGGAGTTCTCAGGAGAAGTCTAGCGTAAAGATATGCCTGTCCTCTAGTGACCTTTTATCTGGAATGGAAAAAGCACTCTGACTGCACTGTTACAGGCGAACGGCTCTAGCTCTCACTTAAACCAGCTGTATTACAACAGCAGGACCCTGCAGATGAAGCCAGAAAGGAACATTTCACCTTTCCAGGGCTCTGTATAAATGCAGAGCAAAAACAGTCTCTGCACTGATCAGCTTACAGCCCTTCGTAAAACCTTAGTGATTAACACTTTTTGTTTGTTCATTTGTTTTGTTGTTGGTTTGTTTTTTACTTATAACCACTGCCCCTCCTTTGCTCTTCTCTGATTCTGTTTACTGCGGAGATCTCTGCTCCTTGCAACCACAGAAATGAAGCAATGCAATTACAACAGAACTTACTCATTGAGCTCTGACCACTTAAAGAACTCCTCAGGCTCTCGACTGAGCCACCAGCTTTCAGCTTGGGTTTGTCCAGGGAGTCAGTGTCTGGCGGCGGCGACTGTGGAGAACCTGGTATGACTCCAGGGCTTGACTCCTGAAAAGCATTGAACCATTTTGTTTGATAAAGGAACATAAGCACTGACAGGAGCTGCTCATTCACATTTGGGAACTTCTTGTATTTTCCTGCTCTTTACCAGACAGGAATAAAGCCTTTACATTTATCAACTTAATTAGTGGTATTCAGCTGTGGCAGACACCCTACTTTATTAGGCATGATGGCAAGCACAGCAGACTGAAAAGGCTAGAACTCTAAGTAGAAAGAAATAATACACAAAACTCTAAATTCAAAGGTTTAAAAAGTCTTTTTTTGTTTGTTTGTTTGTTTTTAGCAGCACTACTTGCAAACAGCTGAAGCTGAATTCAGCTTTCTGAGACAGGATTATTTACAAGGGTGAATACGAACAAATCAGACAATACAAATCAGACACCCAGCAAAGTATGAAGGCTGCCTCGAAAGCAATGCCTTTTCTTTTATTGCATTGGTACAGCAGTAGACATTGAAGCTCCCCACCAATATTCCATTACATTTTGTTGCTGTGTGACAGACAGCAGCAGAGGGGCAGTCTGAAACAATGGCACCTGACATGGAAGTGCTGATGAAGCAAAGGTGTGGAACTCAATTCCTCCATGCAGAAAAACATCCAGTGGATGTGAACACAGTGGAGGTTGTGGGTGGTGCATTCCAGCAGTGGAGACAGTAATGTGAAAAACAAGCTGGGATCTGGATAGCCATGCAGATTTGATGACTGTGGTATGCAGACTCTCCTTCATTGTTGGCAAAAATGCATAACAAATAGTGGTGACTACATTGAAGAATAGCATTTTGTACCTGTGAATTTGCTCTATCAGATAATGTTATTGTGCTCTTTGTACCTGTTGCAATTTCCATAGAAATAAACAGGAGGTATTACTTTCAGTGACCTATGTACATTTTTGCATGTAATTGATATTTTTCTTCATTTATCAAGGAAAGCACAAACTAACTAGGAAATGCGGATTATGCATAACATAAATAATACACATAAACATAAATGCATAAATAGAGAAATTATTTTGCTACATATGCAATGGGCAAGCAATTTCATTTTTGTTCAGTTAAGCATTGCAGAAAATCCAAACGGTCTTTCCTAGCCTGAAATTCTGTTAGCCACTGTGACACACAGTTAAAGCAAAGCAGCAGATTACTTGTGGCCAGAGCAATTTTTGCTTGTTTTCATTGAATGCAAGCTGGAATATTGGCATAGTTTGAGTCATGCCAGAAAGAAAATATTCTAAAATGACTGTGCCAAAAAACTGGAAAACAAAAGCAGCTTAACTTGCAAGCAAGAAAAGTTTTTTGTGTTGATGTGCTGAAGTGTTTAGATGAAACCTATTATTTGCATGCTGCACAATCATCAGAAAAAAAGTCATCACAACATATGACTTCAGAGGTCAAGTCAACCTTGGAGAGAGCTACAGAGCACAAGTGTTGCTAACCCACTGTAAATTGATTTTTCACTGTATCCCTTCCTTAGGGAGAGTTTCAAGAGGGGCACCTTAAGGCCAGTCAGACTGACCAAAGCATCTTAAATCATACCATTAGACAAAATGTTTTTAATATAACTGAAATGTAACCATAACTGTGGCACAGTCTATCGTTATCATGAGTAGGGCTAACAGTCCCACAGGGAAAGGAATTCAAATGTTGCTGTGCTTTGCACAGATCTGGTCATCTATCTGCCTACTATGCCATCTCCAGATTTTGCAGTTTGGAGTTGTTATTCTGAATCTTATTAATTGTAGCTCCTTCTATACCCAACAGTATTTTGCATGAAACACTCTCTGGTGCAGCATGACATTTCCGTTTTCATTTCTGCTCCTCTTACTGCAAGCAATCCTGGCTATTCAGCAACTGGTAAGAAGCCACTTGGGGGCAATGTCCGCCAGAGAAAGCTCTGCTTTTACTTACACATATCAATGGTTTCCTAAGCTATTACTTACACATTTCAGTAGTTTTAAACAAATTCTGGAGAGTGTTTGACACTCCACCAGTACAAAGAATCCAAAGTATATCAAAAGGGATGTTTACAGAAAAAGACAGCAATTATTTCTAGGCCACTAAAATTCAAAGTCTTATTTACAATTAATATACTTCAGGTTTGCCTTTAAGACAAAATTCTATAATGAAAGAATAAAATCTTCTGTGGCATACCTCTTCTGACTGCATTGTGCATCAGTTTTAATAGGCTGTTACAGCGAGCAAGCTATGATGGAGAACAGCTCTGTAACAGTACAGAGGCACTGTGAATGTGAAGTTATGCTGGGATTTTAAACTAAGGTGTAAATTGCAGATTAATAGATATTTCTTTGACCCCGTGTCACTGGCCAGCTCTCCTAGTAAATAATGATGATAGACAAAGAGATGGAAACACAGAGCAAGATGTGTAACGCCATCAACCACAGGCTTCTGCTGATGAGCTACTTGAATGAAAATCTGAAATGCATTTTCATGGTTGTGCTTCTGTAAGAAGCCATTTCACAGTGAGAGACTTTATGAGAACACAGGAACAAGCCACAGCACGTACTCTTGTTGGAAGTTTCTTTACGTATGCCTTGTAATACCTTGAAGCATGGTAATGGATATTGATTATCACTTCTGTTAAGTAGAATCCACTGCAGATCTTACATACCTGCTCAGACAGAGAGCTGCTGTATTTTTTAGACATCCTCTTCTTCATGGTTTCTTTCACAGATTTCACCTTTTTACCCAGAGATATACGGGAGGCAGAGGGTGATTTGATTACTTCTTTATAAACAAAGTCGCCTTCCTTGCCCTGTAAAATAAAAAAGGATTTATGCCCATAAAATACAAAATATAATTTTTTGACAATCCAGCAAAGGTACCCAGGCTGACACAGGATGCATCTTGCTTACTGCTTTAAATTCACTTTTGAGATGTTGTGCTAGCACTGTAACAGTTTGTCCTACCTTATTCTTAAGGCCTGACTGGTAACCTTTTCTGTAGACACTGTGTAGTTGGTGGTGGGCTGTGTTAGCATGCCTTTATTCCTTTGAGTTTCAAGTAAGCAGGTCATCTGACAGGAGAAATCAACAACTTCAAGCTAAGCCCTACCGATGGGACACCCAATAGCAGTTTTTTTCTCACGTGGGTCAGTATTGTAGTATTACAGCTTAACAGGACTCGGGGTACTTCTGAGACACTGGTGATATATTTATGTGTGAAACACTAGCCATATATATATATATACACACACACCCTTATATACAGATATACACACATACATAGACACCTTTATTTGCCTACTCAAATTCACCTTCTATTTTCAGACAGGCAATCAGCTAACATCTCTTGATGAGCATCTTTATGGTTTTACTGTGAACTATTTAAAAAAAAAAAAAAAAAAAAAAAAAAAAGAAAAAAAACAACCAGATCCACAATTTCTGGTAAAAGGTGGCACTAGTACCTTCTTGAGACATGCACACAGGTTGCTACCAAACTAAATTAGCTGGTCCACATATAGCAACAAAAGCCAGCTGCTTTGAACGTATTTAACCTTTTCTAAACTAGCTTAAGATACCCAGTATTTACTTACACCACAAGTGTAGGCAAAGAATTACCATGGATCAGCTAACACTGAAGAATTTTTATGACTCAGCCCTTTTTCATATTTTCTAGGCAGCATGATAAACACAGTACTTCATTCTACGTTATTTCAGGAACTACAGCAAGGCATCTCTTTAAGAGTTACTACCAGCACTTCCGTTGGCACAGATGCAAGAAAAATCACAATGCAAAAAGGATCAAAATCTCATCAGTAGCAGGCAGGTTGACAACTGAATTTGGTCTCTGACTTAATCCTTTAGAAGAAAATTTAGATACACAAAGTAACACACACTAAAATAAGCGTACATTGCATTCTACATAAATGAGTTATCTATTTCCTCCCCTATACTTACACCCTATGCTTATACCCTATACTTATTTACTTTCCTGATGTCTGTCAAAAAGTTTATCTGAAGGTCAGCTGACAACTAATTAACGAACATCCTAACATTTTTTCCTTGATAAGTTGATTGTGACTGTAACTTGTTTGATAACTTTTCACCTTTCAGCAGAAATTAAGGACAACTGCTTGCTTTACCTTCTTTGAAAAAAAAAAACAACAAACCAACACACCCAAGATGTTTAGGTTAATGGACTTCAAAATGTTTTCAAAAAGTCCAACCCAACCTTGATCTGCATTCACTAGTCTGGGACTCTGTGCCTGTCCCACCACTGGTTTTAGTAGGAAAATTACAGACTTCACACTTTCCTATATCAAAAACACAGTATGAACAGATCAAATTACCTATGTTTAAAGATGATCAGTGCATGTTTGAACTGTTTTGCTGAGTTGAAACTTGATGAATATGATGAATATCTGCTAACAGTTTTGGACAATGAAAAGGGAATTTATGATTTTAAAACCAAACAAAACTATCCATTAAAAAAAAAAAATCCTGCAAAAAGCAAAGAAACAAAAACTCAAATCACCACCACCAAAAAGAAGCCCCAACCAGCTCATTGAATGCTAGTGTATAGAATGTTCTGAAATTTACGTTTTATTTAAGTGAACAAAGAAGCTACTGGAGCCAAAGTTAAAACAGAAACAAAATAATATATGGACAAAAAGAAAAAAAATATGTTGACAATTTCATTTGATAAAATGTTCTGGCTTGTTTCTGTTGTATTATTTTTGGCTATGGATTGACCAACAGCAACACTGGGATTGACACACAGTAACAAAAAATGGAATCAATTCTCCAGAGAGTTATTTTATTATACGTAAATGCTCTCTTAAAGACAAAGATTTCTGAGATCAATTGAGCAGCATCCAGAACAATGGGGTCCTGCTTTACTCCTCCAGTACTATTAAATACAATGAGAAAAGAAATAATCTGTATTGTATGACTTCTACCCAAATAATCTGCAGAACTTCACTGAATGAAGTTGGTTTCATTATTTCAAAAACGTTTTACCAACGGAGTATAGTGATCATATGTTTTGCCTGAGGTGATGCTATGAGGAAGGCAGACACAGGAATAGCTCACAGAGGCGCCTCCCAGATCTGCACTTTGATCACTTGTTCTTACCTCCTAACACATACAGTATATAAATACTTACGCATACATGGATATGGGCGGAGATGTTATTCTCAAAGCTAAGGAAGTCTGTGGTTAACGAAGATACTTTGCTTTCTTGGATTCTCAAACTGCTATTACGGACCTAAATTACACTTCAGTCTATTATAACTCTATTGCACATTTCATTTTATGCTATTTCAAGCCTCTGCTTTTTTGTCTTATACTCACCATTTGGTCAGAATTGTTTCCAATATGAAGGGAACGATTCGTCAAGTCAAATCCTCCAAAGCTGCAGGTTCTCTGCAAAAAAAAAAAAAAACAACAAACCAAACAAATGATGGAAACAGTTTTATCACAGTGATTGCTCACTCAAAATACTGTGATTTGGAGAACATCAGTGAAAACACATACATCTGCAAAAATGGAAACAAACAAAGAAACAAAAGGATGGGAGATCATAAATCTAGAATGCTGTTAAAAGCAATTTGAGTCATTTGTCTTTTCCAGAGACAACCCCTTGGCATAAGGTCTGCTGCTGCTGAGTCATCTATTGCCGGCTCTTGATTTTTAAAAGAAAATAGACTTTCTGGTCTGAGGAAATTGTTGATGTTATGCATCAAGTTTTCCACATTGTTAGCAACTCCACCTCAGTACTCTCATCTGCCTTCATAATTTATTTCACAGTAGCAGTGAAACAGAGAACCACCAACATTTCAAAGCACTGGATAACCTACCTTCTGGGAATACCTGTATACACTTAATTTCCACAGAAACAGAGGGAAGTGGTTGACACACCTGAAGGCTGTGCTATCATTCAACAAGACCTGAACAGACTGGGTGAGTTGGGCAGAGAGGAACCTAATGAGGTTTAACAAGAGCAAGTGTGGAGTCTTGCACATAGGGAGGGGATGACCTACTGGAGAGGAGCTCTGTGGAGAAGGACCTGGGGGTCCTGGTGGATAACAGGTTGGCCATGAGATAGCAGTGTGGCAAGATGGCCAAGAAGGCCAATGGTATCATGAGGTACATTAAAAAGAGCGCAGCCAGCAGGTTGAGCGAGGTGATTCTCTTCCTCTACTCTGCCGTGGTGAGGCTACATTCTACAATACTGTGTCCAGATTGGGCTCCCAAGTTCAGAAACATGAGGGATCTCCTAGAAGAAATCCAGCAGAGGGCCACAAAGAACATTAAAAGCCTGGAACATCTCCCATATCAGGAAAGGCTGAGTCACCTGGGTCTGCTCTGCCTGGAGTAAAAAAGACTGAGAGGGAATGTGATAAATGCTTATAAATATCTAAAGGGAGGTGGAAGGCAAATGGATGAGGCCAGGCTCTTCTCAGTGGTGTGTAGCGAGGACAAGGAATAATGGCCTAGAACTTGTACATAGGAAGTTCTGTACTAACACACCGAAGAGTTTCTTTACGGTAGGGGTAACAGAGCACTGGAACAGGTTGCCCAGAGAGGTTGTGGAATCTTCATACAAGGACATATTCAAGTCCCATCTGGACGCCTACCTGCGCAACCTATTGTAGGGTACCTGCTTTATCAAGGCATTGGACTCGATGATTTTGAGGTCCCTTCCAACCCCTGTGATTCTGTGAAGTGCCAGAGGCCTTGTAGGGTAAGAACTTGGTAAAAGGAGTGAAAAAACAATCCCCGCTTATCCGTAAGTATTGTGTCCCAGTGATTTAGTAAACCCTAATTCCAGATTAGGTATTTACAATCACAGCGCTATCGGAATATGGCAGCTCTGCTACTTCTCAGAGAAAGTATATCATATTTGCAGTGGCACAATCACTTGAGTGACTCAGTTTTCGCTGAATGCATAGAAGCACTTTATCATAATCATCCTGTATGAAAAAGAAAATCAGCACTATGACATCATTTTCCTTCTAAGAGCAGAAGATAACCAAACTCAATACAGTCGCATTTCCACAGCCAAAACCAGACCGTTAGATGTGAGACAATCAGGAGGCATAGAATCAGCAACTTTGTAAATTCTTAGGGCCTGAACTACTCAAGACAATAACTTTAAAGACACTCTAAATCTCAGCTTAAGACACTCTTAAGCATAAAATGAGAACTACAAAGGATTACTCAGTTAGCCTTGTGAGTGTGTACTTGGGAAGACTCACTGCCTGAAAACCACCAGTCTTCTTCAACACTTTGACAGAAAGAAGCAAACTCCATAAAGCACCACTTAATAAACAATTAGATCAGTTACTTCTACTAACATGAACATTCTTCTTGTTCCATTCACTACTTACCAACATACACATTAACTACTTTTCAAGAGGTTTTTTTTCCTGGCTTTACACTGAGTGCTGTACTCATCACAGCTACTGAAACACAAAGCCAGCTTTGTCTAGGCCTCACACACATCAAAAAAAGTACCATAATTTGAGATCAAGAACAAGTAATAAGATCACCTTTTAAAGAACAACGTGTTTAGCTGTGAGTAATGCTGTCCTGTAAAGAGTCCATTCTAACCTATCCTATCGCATATGGTTATCCCAACAATGAAGAAAGGACATCTGCAACTACTCTGAGCAAATTCATCTGTCAAACCAGCCAAAGCTCCTCCTACAGCAGCCTCACGAGATCAAAACATCTGTTGGTTAAAAGCTTCTGAGTACATGTACCACATTAAGGATTCTTATTCTTTCATTACGGACCTTTCCATACATTTAACATCATCTTGTGTCTTCAGTTCCAGTAATGACCCTGGAAATTATGTACCAAACAAAAGGTCTGTGGATGAGGAAAGGAATATTCAATGGAATGGCCATGCAATCCAAAGCATTATATTTCTGGGAGAAAAGAAAAACTGATGCTATTTGAAAATTTCATGCACGTCCAGGTCACTGAAACAAGTATAATAAATGACAAAAATGAATGGCAAGGCAAGACAGAGTGACCAATTCCACTGAATACATAGGCATTGCAATTTCTCTGAGGTTGCAGCAAACAAACACTACGTGTTTCTAAGAAGGACTGGCATTAAAGTTTGTTTCAGGAAGAAGTGCAGTGGAAAAGCTTGTAAGAGCAGTGTGTTTCCACAATTTATTTCATTTAAATGAGCCTGGAGAAGCAGTTAACAGAGGAGTTCCTCAACAACAACAAAATTATCCATTTCTTCTCTGACTGTATCCCTGTGAATAAGCAAAAGTCATTCCAGCTGGTTTTCATAATGAAATGACTGTAGTTAAGACTACTTTCTAGAAGAACTGAAAAGCTTGCTGCTGGTGTCTGTATTTACAAAGACAGCCTTAGAAAGCATTTCTAAACAATGCAGCGTCTCTAGCCCATATGCTCTTTTGCCTGAGATACCACCTACTTACTGTTCAACCCTCAGAAGGACAAATCAGGCTTCTTTCATCATTGTACTACCATTAAGAGAAAGTCATGTTTTCTAAGTATGTCTAGGAAAATAGACACTATCATGTCAGTGGCAGGGAAAGTAGTTACAGCAGAAGAAATATTGAAGTAGCCAATTAATGGCACTGGGAAAAAAAGAAAAAAATCCTTAATTTCAGGTCCATAGAGCAAAAAATGTACCACTAGGATTTGGTCAACTCCCATACATAATTCAGAAGAACAAGGCTGTGACTCTTATATTGAGAATACCTCACGCCTGAAGAAATGAAGTAGGCCTCTCAAAATAAAATCTGTAACTCAAGAGGAAAAGCTCTTTTTCTAATGTAATCTTCACTGGAATATCTTGCTTAATGTTATGAGTGAACTGCTGTTTCCACCCACTGAAGTAGGGAATATATCTACATTGTCAACAAGAAAAGAGACTTAGCCGTTTCAGCTTTGGAAATCTGGCTGGACCCAAAGGCAAGTTCCCAGGAAACTCAACATCATGGTGAAGGAAACTGCCAAAGCTAAGTATATAGCCAGGAAGAGCCTTTGGGTCTCTCTGGAGTGCTCAAATCATTTAATTTCCCACTGTATGGTACCACTTCTTTTTTTTTTTTCCTCCTTTTGATCCTTTTCCACACTGTTCTGACAGAACAGAACACCTTCACCTCACGCAAAAAAGGAGTGGCAGCAGCCAGGAAAAGAGCAGGAGGAACTCTTCTGATGTGGTGAGCAGTAGTCAGGAGAGTAGTGTCTAGATAATGCAAAACTCCCTGTCCTTCTGCACCTGAGTGTTGACAGAAACTACAGAGCTGGGTGGGCATTCTGATGAGATGTAAGCTGAATGGGAAAGGGCTGATATGAGGCAGTGACAGACAGTCGGAGAGAAATTGAGCACAATTAACAAAGCATGCCTCAATCCTCTGAAAATTTTGTAACTCTCTCAGTATGCCTTTAAAAGAACACTGACTTACAAAGCATTGTTTAAAAAAAAATGTTTTTGTAATGCCTCAAAGCTTTTCATCGCTGATCTCAATTTACGTTCTATAGGAATTTTAAAAAAACAGCATTTTGTCACGTTTGCTCTCTCTCACACATTCCACAAAACTCTTCTCTGATGCGATTATATCAAACTCCTCGTGGCACAACGTCATATTCTTTTCTTACAGCTGAATTCCAGTGCTTAAGCTTTTCTAAAGGCAAGGAAAGCAGGAGAAGCACCATTTTTTACTTCAAAGTATATAGTAGAAACAGAGTTGACTGCAACCTCACAGAAACTGGAAGACCACCTTCACGTAAACTCTTTGACTCACAGACTTTTGGTGGATTCTCAAGAGAACCCTTTTAGTACAACGATCCACTGTGGCAGCCCACTTCCTCTTGGCCTCCTCATCCTCCTCGAGCAGGCATCTCCTCAGGTCCTGCTTGTCAGCCTTGCTCAGGGTCCTGTCAGTAACGGGACGCACCAGCTGTGAGAGGTTGAGGTGACTGTATAGGCTTCTCTCCACCACATAGGTAATATTGAACTCGCTGACAGAAGTGCGCCCTCGAAGCCTTCTGTTTGGGAAGCCACAACCTCCACCCCCTTTTGCTTTGTGCCGCAGTAATTGTAGGTCACAAGTTGTGGTGGATGCTCCTTTCCTAGCAGGGCGCTGGCAAAGAAAAGCTCTGGAACAGGAATAGTTAGTATCCATTTTCTTCAATCGGATCTGCTTCCTTACACTCTGAATCTCCTCCAGGGACACCAGAAGATGGTGCTTGTGCCTGCTGCTGTCATAAAAGCAAATGCTCTCTGTACTTACCCCATGGCTCAGCGAGCCGAGGCTCTTCTTCATCTCCCCATCTGTCAAGGAGCGGCAAACTTTCTGGGTCTTCTCATCTTCCGGGTAAGAAAAAAATGTCCCAAGTTTCTTGGGAGGCTTGATAAGGCCACGGCTATCAGTTTTGCTGAAGGTCTTGACCAGTTTCCGGCTAGCTCCCCATGTATCAAGACTGCTAGATGAGGGAGAAGTAGTAAGCGAGTCCGAGTCATCCTCTGTCTGCTTCTCGCAGGAACCATCAAAGTAGAATTGCTTCTTGTGAACTCCAGAGTAAAGTGCTGATCTGTCATCCAGTATAGCAGAGTTGTCAAGCGTCTGCTCTTCTACGCCTGCAGGGGACAGAAGCAAGACAATACACATCATAGTTCATAATTCCCTGAAACATTTCTCCATAAAATCTTATTTTTTTCAACTAAGATATCAACAACCACCCATTTAAAACTGCAGGAAAAATTTTCCCGATACAAGAAACTCAGAAAGTATTTGCAGCTGGGTAAATCTGAAGGAGCAACGTCCATTTGTGAAGTGAGAGTTCTGAGGTCAGATAACAATATGTAGACCACAACATCCTGTAAGTAAAACAATTGTCATTTTAAGTTTTTCTCATTCACCTGTTGCTAATTGAGACCTCAAATGGTGTCAGAAATCCTGAAATCCTGGAACTGGGACATGTTTCTTAAGTTTTTCTTCTGATACTTGCATAAGATGCTTTCTTAAAAATCAGCTTTAATGAAATTCCAATAGGTGGGAAGTATATCTTGGTATTAAAACAAACACACAAACACAAGCATCATTTGTTTAGGTTCAGTTTTCCAATACCCAATGCTTTTTCTGCAAAAATCAGTATCTGTCCCAGAAAGTTGTAGAGCTGAGCTTTGGGCTGAAATGAAAAGATTTGGGATTTTGATAGGGGAAAAGTAACCAACTTTAATTAAATAGAATTTACAGATCTGAAGTAAAAAAGGAAGTGGGTCAAAACTGTGGTTGTTCCAATTACAGCAGTGTTCTGCTAACGACAGAAACTCATTGTTTTCACTAAATATATATTTCATAGAAAGGGAAGAAAACCTTTTGAAACACAAGTACTGGATATGGGAAAACAGCAGGACTCCTTTCTCAAATAGAGTGAATGGACACAAATTACCTGCAACTGTGATTCCTTATGTCTTTTATCATTTAAGAAACAGTTTTCCCTGGTGTTCTCTGTTGTGCAAAACGTAGGGGCAGATATTCAGTGCAGTAATAAGAAAAGAATCAAACAAGAGTACACATCTTGCTCAGTCCTGCTTGATAAATGTTACTGCATTTGTGGGCATGTAACAGAAACACACACAGAAATAGTAAATTTCCAGTACAATCCAACTTCGCCTTCCTCTACGACGGCTTCTACAATTCTAAAGCAGAGCCAAGTTTGAACCATTTCTAAAATGCCTATGATTTACTGAACTCAATAATTCAATAATAGGGGGAAGAATTTAAGACAGAAGAGCATTATCTTCCTTGTACGAGCTTCCTGTCTCATCTTCAGTTGTCTCATTGGGAAAAACATGTTTCTCACTCATTTGCAAAAGCTAAGACAGTATTCTATCAAAGTAAAACTCAGTGTGACATTGAAGGAATAGTGGATACATCTGACACAACTTCTGCTCGTGAGAATTTTTCCGGGGTAGGTTTGCACATCGGAGTCTGACTTTAACACCATTTCCACTGGACTGTTCAGTCTGTTCTTCTTCCTCCACTGATTCTCAATCTGAACAGAAAATTGACATTGTCTTGGGACTGAATATGTGCTGATAAACAATTTTAGTCCACTAAGTAAATATGTTTTTAAACAGATTGTAAAATATGCATTGTGTGTCAACACTGTAACAGATGTTATTTGGATTAAGTCCGTGAAACAAAGCCATAATGACACAGATGTAGATGTGATTTGTTTTTAAATGTTACATAAGAATGGTGCCCAAGAAATAGAACCGTCAGTTATTCAGCTTACTGAGAGAAGACTTAACAGAAAACACACATGGATTAAAATACTGGCACATTCTACTGACAATCAGATCAGCAAAACTTGTATTTAGTGCAGTAATTATTCTATTACTCCTCAACAGTAGAAACATATGAGGAGGATCTCAGACTAGGATGCCTTTCTTTAAAAACAATGGAAGTGTATATGGAATTTTGGCAAACTTTTTATTCTTTGAGAAGGAATTTCTGAAAAGGATTATGAATAATCTTTCTTCTGGGGTATTTCATGTCAGTTTTCAAACTGAGCTTACTGTCATGCTTGGACAAAAGTTGTTGAACATCAACAAATTTACCGTAATTACACTGATGCTACCGTATCAAATTTGATATCCAAATCTCAAAAATCTGGCCATCTAGGATTTCACATAACTTCATGCTTACATGCTGCTTTGAACAATAACAGCAAACAGCTCAAGAACCAATTTGGTCAACCACAGGTAACCTGAAAGGGCAGACGGAAATCCCCAAATCCGACCACAGTATTATCTGTGATATTGCAGAATCCTCTGACATGTTCAAACAAGAATACAGGCCTACATTACAAAATGTGACGAGGGACAGTATTTCTAAAGCACTTTTAATACACTGTACGTGAACTTTTGTGTGGCCAGACCTTACTAAAAAAAAAAAAAAAAAAAAGAAAAGACATACCTACTCCTAATGTGTAATGGGCTACTTACAGGGCCTTCTACTTTTGTAGAAGCGATGTGTAAGCAACCCATATTGTTATTTAACAATATTATTTTATTGCTGTGGAGACTGCCAGGAGACAATGTAAAAAAAAAAAAAAAAAAAAAAAAAAAGCCACAATGCTAGCTAGATAAGATAAAATCTCTGAGTTATAGATGAATTATTCAGAAAAGCCTAGAGTTAAAAGAGAGAAGATGGACAGGAGATGGAAACAGAAGGAAGCAGAGTAAGATTATTATTATTTTGAGTTAATTCAGTTATTTGTCTGTGAGTACAGGTGGGAAAACTCAGTGGAAAAAATTTGGAAAGAACTGGGATGCATAACTGAAAGACTGAGGGGAAAAAAAGGAAATGAGATGAAATAGAACTGCAAGTGAAGCACTGTGAGAGAGGGAATTGAGAGCAAACCAGACAGTTAACAAGCTGAAGAGAAACCTAGTCAAACTGTAGGAAGGCACCTGCACATCCAGTAACTTCTCAGCTGCCTGTTCCTGCAGCTGCTCCCACTCCTGGGGTCTCTGGCTGATTGCTCCCTGCAGCTTTTTCCCAAGGTAGGAAATGCATCTCTGGTATTCTTTCCTCAGAGCAGGGGGAAAAACGGCCCTGTCTTGCCCTACTCTTCTCATAAAACATGCTCTTGCTTACCAGACTTATGCCCTCTGCATTTCCCCTATGAGATGATAAAAACCTCCTCAGACCAAGCTAGCTGCCCAGTGCAGAGCCCTGAGGTGACTGAGCCTTTCACTCCAGCTGGTTACACCATTATGCATGGGAGAGGTCGGCTAGATTATAAAACTGCTAACAGTTTCCTGCCACATACCCGAAAAGATGCATACATTCTCCTTAAATTCACTCAGAAGTAAAAAAAATATGGCTCAGCTCACTACAAAGCTGAGGGGAGTCATGGCGTACGACCCTGGGGGAAGGACATAGACAGGTACCCACGGTTCCAGTAGGGACTCAATTAGGGCTTTGCAGAGAAGCTACTCTGAGGCTCAGGCTTCTTTAGTCCGAGTGCTCACACACAGATACAGGTCATTCGGAGTTAATTTTGCAGCACGGCATTCCCAGGGGCTGAACTCTGTTTCCCATTTCCCCACCCTCCTCCTTCTCCTCCTCCTCCTCCACTCTCTGTTCCTCTCCCCCTCTCCCTTGGCAGCATGGCTCAATCAGGAGCCAAACTGCAAGCAGGCTCCTCCTGAATGAGGAGTTAATGTTATGTGAGGCAGCAGCTATCCCATGAGAACATCCAATGTAGTTTCTGTACTTCTGCCACAGAACAATACCATGTAGTGCAATTGCTCTACCCACCAACCACTCCCCTCCCCAAATTTGCTAAGTGCTTCACCTGTGTATTATCCCTACAGCTGTCACACAGGCCTGGGAGATGGGAGCAAAGCAGGGGCTGCTCTGCTTACCTCCCTGAAGTGCCTGCTGGGCAGCTGTCTGCAATTGCTTCTACTCTTATTCCCTCTACAGTGGCATGCAACACAAACCAAGTTCTAATCTCCTAATGAAGGGCTCTCCAGTGCTCTGGAAATGCCAGGAGATCAGCAGTAACCACATCCTAGACAGTCACTTTCTTCCTTCTACTGTCTCAAAATGTAATTACTTGGGTAATGCATGCATCACAGACAAGCAGCCTTTCCCTGTGTCCCCTCAGAACACTTCCCACCCCTGCCCCCTTCTGTTCCCTCTGAACACAAAAATGTATTCACATATACAAGTTTAGTCATATATGTGTTGATTTTACCTTCTGTACTGGGTTTTTTCATTTCTTCCACTCTTATGAGTTTCTTCCTGACTCTGCGAGTAGAATTTACCAGCTTGTGCAATCTCTTAAACTTCACCGACTCCTCTGTTTCATCATCGGATTGTTCTCTTGACTGGCAAAGAAACAAAGGGAATATTAATAAAGTAGTTGTTCCACCGCTTGCTCCTTCAAGTCAAGTTAGCCCAGTTCATCTGCTGCGCCGTGTCAATGCAGCTCTGTAACTGGTGTTATATTTTCAGCCCAGGTCAGAGAGAAACATTTAAATTACTGAGGGTTTTCTTTTTTTCTTTCTCCTTTTCTGAAAGCATGACATACCATTTTGATTTCTAAATCTGTGCAACGTAAGATTCTAGGCACTGAAATGCATTCCTGCCCTTGTCTTTCTTCCCATGCATTGTGCAATAACTACTTCCACGTCCTCTCTCAGTACGTTTCAGGCAGGGCTCTTTCCCAGGGCTCTTCTTACCATACCAGTTACGCTCCTGTGGTTTGGGTCAGTCACTGCTCTGTCTGGCATCTCAGAACTTGCAGATTAAACCTGGTTATAAACAGCTTCTCCAAACCAAAACTCTGCCATTGGCGACTTCTCTTTTTCTTCCCTCAGTCTTCCCAGAAAATCAAAGCCAGCAGCACAAGAAAGGGACGGGAAGGAAAAGGAAGGAGGAGACCTCATCTGCCTCGCTCAAGCTGCTGCAGTTACAAAAAACTCTTTTCCTCCTCCCTGCAGTCCTCCTGAAGGCTCTCGAGGCTGGAATTAGGATGGACACAGCATTCCTCCAACACTGACCAAGGGAAAACTCTGACCTTTTCAGATATACAGTGCAGTCCATATTCCCCAGCATCCCATTTCGTTTTGCATCTGATCCAGTATGCTCAGTTCCAGCTGTTTTCCCTCAAGCATCAAACATTACAGAGACAAAAAAAAATTCTCCCTCTCCAGCAGCAGTGACACAACAAGCTGAAACAATCCACTCCTTGTGAACGAGAAGTCGGCTTCGATTTTTGAGCCAGATTCAGCGCTCAATGTGCTACTTCCTCTGTTTTAATCAGTTCAGAATGCGAGTGGTGGTGGGGGGAAGGGAGAGGAGGCCAGCAGGATGCTCAGGCTCAGCCAGGATAGCCCTGGCACTGTGCACTGCAGATTCCTGCGTGCCGCAGGCTCCAGCTGGAGTGCGGTGCAGATTGCGTACCTCACTTCGTGTTCACCCATGGACCCAGCCAGTCCACTGCATTCCTAATGGCTGGCTCTAAAACCTTTATGCAACTTCCTGTCAGTGGAGCTATCTGGGTTTCCATGGCATCCTCATCCTTTTTCTCCTTCTCCTTAATTAAACTTTAAAAAAAGAAAAATCCCCAGCAGATGTGAGCCAAAAAAAGGGAAAGAAAAAAATAAAAAGGCCACTCTCTCCTCTTCCATTACAAGAATGCTGTCTTTGCTTATCCGGAGACTGAATAAAAGACAACCCAAATATATAAAAACGCTCTCCGCTTTTCAACTGCCCTTAAATACCTGGATGTGGCAATAATGGTGGGTGCCACAGGACAGGACACCAATTAGCAGTTGTATACGCACAAGTACATTTTCAAAGGCTCAAATAGTGCCTGAAGGATTCAGCACTGCTTTGAAAGTCTCCCTTGCAGGAGTACATTTCACAGAACCAGCAGAACCATGCCAGAGCAAACGCCAACCACTTTCTGCAAGGGTACTGCCAATTACAGATTTTCCACAAATTTCCTGATATTCCAAAACAAGAAATAATACCAAATGGGCAACATATGGTGGTAGGAATTACCATTCCGCCATCCAAGAGCCGCAGGAATGCATTTACTATGGGTACAGACTGGATAGGTAATTAATAATTTTCCTTCAGGAGAAATAAGTCCATAGAGAGGAGTAACAGACTTGTTTATATCAAGATAAATTAAGCAGCAAGATGAGCATTAATTCAGAGATTATGGCTGGGACAACTTAGTGTCATGTCAAACAAGACATACCTCAGACATGTTTAGATAAGATGAAAAATGGACTATTGACTGTAATCAAGTTCAGTCAAGACTTCTTAGCCTATTAAGCACATCCCAGCAAGCAACCATCATGCATACTCTGTACTCCAGGTACATTTATTTTAAATGCAATTACTCTAAACCACTCCTTTCCTTCATTACTTTGCATCTGTCTTCAGCTTGTAAGTTTATGAAAAACCTCCCTCCAAGGATTTCACTGATGAATCCGTAGCGCAGGTCAACCAGCCTGAATTCTGTACCACCAGTGTCCAAAAGAGACCTGCCCCCCTCAATGTCCTCTGCAAGATTCAGTGGCAGTAACAAAAGCTTTTACAGTATCTCATGTTTGCATTCATTACTACTGCAGAGAAAGCAAGTGTTAAAATACCTCCCATACAAGGCAGCGACATTCAACCCAAGTGGGTGGTAGGGTAGATCCCTACCACACTTCAAAATAAATAAAAGTGCATCCTAATAATGGCCTAGCTGGTATTTCCTGCCATTTCAGGACACTCAGCATCCTTTGTTCCAGCAGCCAGGGTCCTTTATATGCTCTGACAGACACTTCCTAGCCCTGATGCTCAGCTGGGAGAGCTGGGAACAGCCTGTATTTAACAACAGGAACCGCCGGATAATAGCCTGACTGAAAATTAAGTCAAAATCTTTCTCCAGCAGTCTATTTCCTACCTTTATGGGGTAGCAAGTGGCATGGAAAATCTTTTTAAAGCAAGAGGATGGCTAATAAGGTTACAGAGAAAGGCCTACAAACACCTGTAATTACACGACTGGTGCTGATCAGGAAACTTTTTTTTTGTGTCAAATAACGTTGATTCCTTGAAAACGAACCTGTTTTGAAAAAGTGATTCCTTTTGATTTATTTCCTGATTTCCAAATGATTTTATTAAAAAAAAAAAAAAAAAAACAACACACAAAACAAAACACCTTAGAATTATCAAATGATTCCATTTTGGCACATGGAAGACAGAGTTTAATTTTCCAGCTCAAGCAATGGTTTCTTTTGCAGCTAATATCAAACAGAAAACAGAAATGTAAAGCATTCAGGCTTCAATGACATATTTGGAAATTATCAAACTTCAACATTTTGATTCATCCAGCCTATTTTTCTTCTCCAGCTTTCAAGATGACAGTATGGCCTTTTTTGGTTGCTTTTCCTGCTCTCAGATGGGAAAATCAGCCCGGCCGCTGCAACTTGCAGCAGGCTTGGCAAGAGGCATCAGCGCAACCTCAGCAGCCATGCCCCTGCAGGGGGCTGCAGCGCCTTATTTTGTTCTGCCCTGCCACCCTCCAAGCACGGCTCAGCACTACAAAAGGGCAGACATAACTTGTTAAAAAGAGGATGCCATGCCTGCAGATGGTAAGGCTGTTGTAGGCAGGGAGGCCTGCTGAACTTGGGTGCACAGGACTGCCCCTCCAGCCTCAGCATGGCTGTTGGGGCTGATGGAACAGCTAGGGCCTCTCAGCCACCCTGACTCGCTGTGGGCGCAGGCCTCTGTGTGCTCCAAAGGGAAAACAAGCGGATTTGCAGTACTGTAAATAGGAACAACTTAACTTCCATCTCCTCCGCTCCCAATTTTTCCATTCGAAGGCCCATATGGCTCAACTTTTAATTATTTTGGCTAATGCTATATGTAGTAATTCTGTGGTGAATGCTTGAGTGTTTCATTTCTGGTTTCCACGGCAACATTACATCAGATTGCAGACAGCTGGCTCCACGGTCCTAAACCATAACAAATTGGCCGAGCCAACACAGAAAACTGTGCTTGCTTTAAAGAGATAGCGCTGCTGGGGAGCCAGCGTGGCTGGTGGGGCCCCTTGGCAGTGCCGGCCGGGTGGAGCCGCCTTCCCGCTCGCCTTGGAGCAAGTGTGTCCCCAGCACATCTGCAGTGCTCTCACGGCGCGGAAGGCCGCCAGCTCCGAGCTTGGAGCTCTGCTGCACAAGCGCATGCAAGGCCACAGGGAAACGGGGGCTAAATTAACAGCATCTGTAAGCACCCAGGACTGCATGTGGAGGGCGGCAGCCTACACGTACCACATGGCTGGGAAACTGCAGACAGGCCAAAGCCCATCCCCTCTGCACAGCTCTTCATCACTAACAAAGGCAGATGTAAGCCTGCAAACAGATTCTCAAACCTGCAAGAGACCAATTCCCCCTGCTTTCCCTATCACCTCGTCTGTTTGGATCACCCTTCTTACTTGTGAATCTCTAAAGGCTATTCGCTACCTCAAACATAAGATCAAAGTAAAATGCTGTACATCCAGGAGCAAGTAAGAAATTAACATGTGCACTTTGATATTCTCCTTTCAGTGTTCTCTGCCTTCTGTAGTGCTTTTCTCATTCACCGCTGCCTGCTCTGGAGAGAAGGAGCATGCCTGGCTGTCTAGCTGTAAAACATGCAGCCCCTTTCACAAGCCAGAGAAAGAACAATGTATAATCCTAGCTCCTCCCTCTGGACAAGTGCTTTACACATATACTCATACCCCTAACATTTATTAGGGTACTTGGAATTAATTGGCCAAATGTGAATCAGAAGTAGCTAGCTAGCTCTCGGCAGCACTGGGTTTGGAAACACTACAGGTTTACAGCAGTAGCCCTTAAAAAACACAAGATACGCAAAGCCCACCAGCCAGGTCCAAATAGAAATTGAGCACTGTCCTGAAACATCAGAACAATAGACAGTTAAAGCTATCACAACTGATTAAACTGTTTCAGCTCCATGAAGAAAAAAACACATGACTTTTACATGACCTGTATGAAGCCATTTAAAGGAATGTTAAACCTTTACAATCTACTTTATGTTCTGTAATTGTCAAGCCCCAAACAGGAATCTCCAGGAAACTTCCCATCTAAGAAACTGCGAAATGTCTTAATCCAATTAAGCCCAAACTGCGATTATTTTTAGCTATCAGAAAATTATTGTCCTGCAAAGTAGAACAAAACTATACATGCAGATATGCAACATATCATGTTAATCTCCCCTCACTAGCTTACTTTAGAGTTATATGTCCTACTTCAAATGCAAAGAGATTCTTCTGTTCCTTTTAGGAGACGTGGCTACACGTGTCCTTTCTTCTCTCCCTCAAACAGAC